CAGAGAGAGAGAGAGAGAGAGACCATAATACTTCAACTTCTTGATTATCAGGAGATCTTAGTGTACCAGGAGAAGTTCCCGTGTTTTGCATACAGATGGCTGATGTACTCAGCCTGAAGGAGTGTTAAGTGGGTAGGAGTACTCGACCGTTCAAAGCTTTGGTTGGAGAAAGTAACTAATTGCAAATTTGAAGGAGATAAGGTGTCAACCTTCTAGCTAGATGGGGCCTATGCATCACAAACCTCAAACAGGATAGGAGAATTAACAGCTACTCAAAGACCCAAAGAAGATGTTTCTTGATATTAGCATCTGTCACTACTAATGACTACAGCTAGAAGTGAAGAAATTTTACTTAAGTAGAATCTTAATGTACCAGAGAGCATGATTCTACCACGATGTTAAACCTGAAACATAAAATTGTACACATGCCTAAAGAATGTTACCAGCACCCCAATGATTCAAACATCTAAAAACCCTGAAATTTGAATAGAATTGTCTGAAGACAGCTGAAATAACCTGTGACCAAAAACATAGATCTTCTTCAATAAGTACCAAAATCATAAACCTAAAACTTAAAACCCTGTTATCCAAGAACCTCAAGTGAGTGAACAGGCAAATAGTGATGCCAGCAAACACACGACATACACGTATAGCTTGGCATTCATTCAAGGAACAAAAGGAAAAAGGAAAAACTTCCAATGGTCAGGCTAAAAGGGAGAGTGGGATGAAGAAACTATAAAGATGCTTTCCTTACCTTGGAATTTGACTTGGACTTGGTGCTGCTGTGGTTTGACATTGATGATTTCTCTTTTGATTGTTTCTTGGCTGTCCCAGACACAACCTCAAAAATTGTGGGAAGATCGTTTATCATATTGAACAATCTTCTCCTGCAACCCAACATAAATGGCTCCTCAGAAAATATGGTGAAACTGAAAAAGAAAAAGAAAAGAAAAAAACACAACGTAGTATGCAAGTTATATTATGCCAAGTTTATGTGTACAAGATTGTTATTTTAGCTCAGGTTGCATGTAACTTCCTATCATTTCCCAGAACTTTTTTTTAGGTCATATTCCCAGGTAATAATGTTGTAATATATATAACGTGTTGCAACATAGAAAAATGAAAATTACTTCAAGGAACAAAGCAACAACGTAAATAAGCATGGGAAAAGAAAGCAGTGCACATTTCATAAGTACAACATGAAGCAAACAATAAGTTTTATTTAGGATGCCACAAAATCAACAAATTGAACTGTGACATTCAACTATGATAACCTTCTATCGCCTTTTTGGACAGGGGCCACCACTCTAAGTACTGGATATTTTCTATGTTCCTTGGGATAAATTCTCCTTGACAGAGAGGTTTTTGTACTTGTACCTACACATTAACTTATGTTAAACTGTAGTACCGGTCATCGGACCCACTTTTATATTGTCTCCTGAAATATCGGCTTATTCTGCATGTGCTTTCAAGTTTCAGGGTCACCCGCTCGAACGATAACTACATGAAAAACTATCATTGTAGTACCCTCTGATAGTGGGTACCTTCATTATTACTCCAAATAGAAAATAAAAGTAGTCACTGCTGATTTAGACATAATTTACACTCCTATGAAAATACCTGTTCCTTGGCACAACTGGCTTCATCAGCGGTCCATCACCTATTGAGATGAGGTGAAGACAATTTTATAGGTAAACTTGCAATATTCATAAATTATCTTTCATACTTTATGAGTAGTAAATCTTACATAGCATTCTACTTGATCACCTCTTCAGTTTCAATATTCTAATTGTTATACATATGATGAATTTATGTCACAGCAACAACTTCTTTTAATTGGTTATCCTACTATAATAAATTGAGTAAAAGCATAATCGTTACTTTTAATATGCAGCAACAGCATATTTTAGAAAACCGAAAGCTCTTGCTCTCCCTACCACTGGTGCCATGTATCATGAAACAGAAGTACAAATTCAATAAAGTAAACTCTGACTATTTTACTAACTAACTTGCAATAAGGAATAATGAGAAGATAAATAATTGCTAGTCCAGAATATACCAATATTTAAAAGGAAAACTAGGCAGGGCCATCATCTGAATTAGACTCGGCAAAAGAAGTAACAGTTATGTAATTATCATGAGATGATATTGTAATATCATGAGATGAAATTGCACCCAAATGTGGGAAGTAAAGGACAAGCTAAAATATATTAAAAACAACCATATTAACAAGCATAAACTCATAAAAGAGTAATAGATAAACAGTAGAGGACAATGTTAAAAGTGAACCAGTGGAAAACTCAAGAACTATATGTAAAACAGTAAAAATGTCACCTTTTAGGTTCTTGCTTTACCCATCAAAACAAAGTTTTTCTAACTTTACAACAGCAGTTAAGGCTCCAATTTGCAATTCAGACAGTTGATTTTAGCTAAAAGAGATGAAATTAAAGAGAAAACAGAAAACATACCTATCAGCTCTATCGAAACCAAACCTAGCACCAAAATAAAATGCAACAGCAAGTAACCATGCATCACTATGCACAGCAACCAAAGATAGCCAGTCCTTCTCTTGCATGCCATCACGGGCAAAGTTAATCCCCAGAGCAGGCTCTGGAAGCTCAGGGGGCACTTCCTCAGCTGGTAGATTGACTTCCCACTGTTCACTTGGAAATCCATATAGGCAAAGATTTTCTTTTTCTGCAATTCAATGTTAGTTGAATCATAAATCGTTCCCTTCAAAATAAAATGTACAGCTTAGGGCCTCGGGATATAAAATTCAAATATTGCACTAGATGGGAAGGTAAATCAAGACATCATGCAATCGCCAAGAAGGGTCTATAAAAACTCAAAATAAAACTGCAGGAGAAAACTTCAGGAAGAATAGCGAATATACTAATGCAACCCTAAGCAAGATATGTGTCATTAGCACTGACTCAAAATATAGTAGAGATAATATAGCACTTCAATCGAAAATCAATTTCATCATGTTTGAGAAAGAGAGAAGGATAGAGGAAGGGAGGGAGGGATAAGAGAGGAGCCAAATATATCCTTCTTCCTTCAATAGCAAAATGGTGACTTGCGATGTTTGTACAAGATGAAGACTGTAGCAAGACGCGCGTGATGCTTGAGTTGCGCAAGTATTTGCTTAAATAAGGAATGATTCTAATAGTTCTGCAAAGGTTTGAGAGATCCCATTCACAACTATTCATGACAAAACACAATTTGAACACATGAATCCACAACGATTAATTCTGGCATACAAAAGGAAATGGAAAAATACACCGAGAATTTGAACTAACAAAAGATACTAAAGGCTGTGACCACGGAGGCTGGCAGATCTGGTGGATTGGAGGCTGCAACCCCACTTGCTTTACAAAATTTTGCTAATTATTCCCTTCTAAAGGTTGAATATACCTTTTAAAAATCATTTCCACCCTAACTTCGCGACAAATATTTCCTTGCATTTTTTTCCCGTGAAAGTTCCCACATACAAATCTTGTGTTCGCCCCGGGCTGTGAACGATTAGAATAAGATTATTATGTATCAACATTGTCTCACTCATTCAACCTACTATCAAGATTACAAGTAGCAATATTTAATGATTCCAACCTATGTTGTGTGGACTCTTCAAAATGTTGCCGCACCCATGTCGGATCCTTCCAACATGCACCTGGCCACATTCAGGGAGTCCGAGCAACATAGGTTCCAACCCCAACTTTAAAGTACTTCAAGAACCTTGAATAATCTTACAATTCTAAAATGGCACCCTTCCACCAACTACACTAAAAACGAAAATCATCAGTAAAATGTGATACTAGGAGGAAGGCCTAACAGATTAATTAGAACTGTAAAAGCAGTAATTGCTATAAAAGATTTTCATAATAAAATAAGTAACACACAAAGCCATGATGGCAAATGAAAAGATTCAGCACAAGCAGTATTAATCAATCAATGGGCTATGCCTCAATTTTGAAAGGGTGGCTATATGAATCCTATGCATCCTTTCCACTTTAATAAGACCTATTTTATTTTAGTACTGACTATTTTGTCTTCTAAGGCAAATTAGAGATTCTCCAAACCAGAAGTTCTCTAAATCTTACACTAAGTCTCTATAGAGCTAATCAGACTAAGAATGCGCCTGGAAAACATTGGAACGGAAGTATAGCAACAAAAATTAACGATTAATTCCATCTAGTTGTGTGAGTGCAACTCTTAGATTCAATTTCCAGCTAGTTGTATTGCGTACATAGTTCTTTTGCTTCCATTATACTCTGCTCTGAGCTAAATCTGCATCGATTTTGTCTTCCCCTCTTTGTTAGTTTAGGTCCATTTCATGCCCATCTAACACCTTCAACCACCACAATCTGAACCTAGGGACTGGTGCACCAAGAGGTCTATGTAGGACAAGGTTAAACCATCTCAAGAGCCCTCTCCTCCTGCCGTCCATATATGTTTATTGCACCATCTACTAAATGTGATAATTTATAATCTTGTCTAATTTTGTATGACAAAATATCCATCTTAATGGTCTACTTCTATGACATTTATCTTATGGATATGTTTTATTTTGTCAGATATTTTCCTATCACATAGAAATCATGTAGCGCTCCTCCATTTCAATCGTAATTTAATTTTATGTGTCAAATCACACCCACGCACCAATATCATCAAACCTCTTACCCTATATAAACTATAGTAAGGTGCAGATATATTACGTGTTTAGGGGAACACATCCAAACGAATTCAATTTTTAGAAGATTCATAAGAGTTTTGATTATTTTACTTTAATGACCAACCTACCGATATCCTTCTCCTTTGTTAGACCTAGGAACCGACTTTGCGAAGCTCACACAGGTGGAAATTTTCGCAATAAGCCAAAAAATATGGAAACATAAATGTACAATCTAATTAGCCAAAACCATTAGAAAAATTGCAGTACTACATAAAAGAATAACAAAGCGTTACAGTTACCAAAGCCACAATAACTCCAGCCGTTACCAGCATATAGCAGTACACTTCAAAAATAGGAGCAAAAAGACGAGTTCTTTTTTACCTGGGTCGCACTGCTGATAAAATTCTTCGACATCTGCACCAACCACATCAAAGAGAGAACTCAGAATTCAAAAAGCACGAAACTTGAGCAAAATCCAAGCACGACCCATCGAAAATTAAAGAATAAAAACCCCAAGGAAAAAGACAAATAGTAATGGGAAATGGGCAAAATTGAGTTGTATACCAGTAGTAAGAGCTTTAATAAGGCCAGCTCTACGACCCTTGAAATCTCTAAAAACTTCTTCAACTGTTCGAGGATTGTACTGTTGACCACCTTCCATCCCTTTTGTTTCTGTAGAAATTAGGCAGAGAGACAACTGGGAGTGTAGAGTGAACAAAGCACAGAAAGAGAGAGAAGATGTTGGAGGGAAATGAAAAAAAATGAAAATATTTAGGGAGGTATTTGATATTTTGACCAAAAACGTTGGTCAAAATTGGATTTGATAGAAGTGTGAAAAGTCCGGATGACGTTTGGATTTTCTGCCCCCACTTTAATGACAAAGAGCCCGTTTGGATTAACTGATTTAAAGTAGCTAATAAGCATTAGGTGCTGAAAAAGTATTTTTAAATGTTGGAACTGATTTAATAAATAAGCAGTTACGTGTTTGGTTACAAGTGCTGAAATTGATGATAACCTTAGAACAATTGTGCTTGGATAAGATAATTTTTATGATAAATATAATTTATTTTATAATAAGCATATAATCATAAGTTATAATAATTACAAATAAATTGACAAAAGTTTCTCAGTAAAAAATAAATCTAAATAATACAAAATATTTGAAAAGAAATAAACGTTGTCTTCATCACCACAACACTAGAGCAATACGCCAAAAATTTAATATATCCTCATTTATTACATACAGTTCAAAGATTCACATAGATACAAATATGCAAAGGAACAGAGAATTTGTTTATCTTAAATAGTCAATGGGAATTGCAAACTTGAAGAGGTGGGGTGGGGGGGGAGGGGAGGGGGGGTTTAGGTTGAATACTTGAGGCAGTGAGTATCGATGTAGAAGTTTTGTTCTAAAAAGGGATATTTTAAGAATAAAATAGTAAAAATCTTGGTCAAACTTAAAGTGCTTATAAGCTAAAAATTCATAAGCTGGGGGTGACCAGCTTATGGCTTTTGACTTATTTTTGACTTATAAGCACTTTTAACTTTACCAAATGCGTAGATAAGCCGAAAAGTGCTTATAAGCTAGTTCGACCAGCTTATAAGCTTAGCCAAACACCCTCAAAGTCAAGCCTTCAATTTCTTTCTACTCCCATTATTTTATGCACTGGTTTTTTTTTTTTTTTCTTTCTTTTTTGTTTGTGGACATACAACATGAGTAATTATCCAGAAGCTGAGAAGCCTCATTTGCTAACGTCACAAAATTACATGAATAACATGTTATAATAAAATAATCCTTGTGTAAAAATTATTTACAATATAAATATATTTAAATTAAATCCCTTTCGTATTAATTAATATCTTTTCTGTCCTAAATTAACACTGTTCACAAAAAAAAAAATCTACAATATTGAAGAATACCGTCTTCAGTTTTAATTCTGGATTCCACATAATGGAATTTACGAAGAAAAATAAAAAAGATACAGTATTAAATTTAAAAATTCAATAAAAAATTTCTGTTAATTTCTTTTGAACCGGATAAATAAGATTTTTGAACATCCAGAACTCTAGTGGTGAACTTGTACACCTTAGCAGAGAGTTTATTTTTTTCTTAAAATTAGTTTAGACATTTTCGCACAACTCATAAGGAAGAGTTTATTTGGATTTTATATTATCCAATAAAAGTTTGCATTTCAGCGGAAATACAATCACTTTGGCCATTTAAATCCGTCCTCGTAAAGTATGTTTGAACAAAATTTTAACTTCTACACAGCATTTATTATTGTGCTGTGATATGTTGTAGATCGTACTCCCTCCGGTCCAAAATAATTGATTTTTTGGTATTTTTTTTGTGGTCCAAAATAAATGATTTTTTCAGATTTCAAGAATGAATTAATTATTTTTTCCTACATTGTCCTTGGAGTAAATAGTGTTGGAATATGTGTTTGGAGTGTTTATGTGAGACAGTAAAGGTTAACATGGTCAATTTTATTGTTAATTAATGTTAAAAGGTGGGTTTCTTAATCTATGTGAAAACAACCAAAAAAAACACTTATTTTGGACCGGAGAGAGTATTAGACAATCTAATATGTTGATTTTGTTCTAATATGACCCAAAATTCTATTTGTCGCCTTTTTGTTTCAAATATACATTAAAAAGACTTTATAAATAACCAGAAGGAATTGGCTTGATAGTCAAGAATCCTAACTGAATAAAGCAAAAGACAAAAAGTTGAGAAGTTTGAGCAAAAGTGCTATCTGAGCAAAGAAGATACTTCTAGCATGATTGGGCTCATTTGATACTATCACACCTCCTTTTTACACACCTACCCCGAAGGATAATGTATAAGGGAGTTTTTCCATTTAAAGTGACATTATTCGAAATGGGATTATTTATTTATTTTTTAGAGTCGCCACTTGGGATAGGATTGGCTTTTGGTGTCCCAAGTCACCGGTTTAATTTAAATCCCAAATCGAGGAAAAATTCGACTTCCCAATTGGAGTCTGCGAACCGGAAATTCTGAATAAGGAATTCTGTTGACCCGGGGGAAGGTGTTAGGCACCTCCAGATCCCGTGGTTCTAGCACGATCGCTTAAATTATTATAATTGGCTAAAAATCTGATTTTTATACATATTCCAACCTATAATGCAATTTTTAAGATTATTTACCGCTTTTAGTTATTTTTACGAAAAGTGAACGCCGTTTAAGAGCGTGTTTTTGGATCACATCACATGAAATGCACCCGGATCCTTGACACCTCTTATTCAACGTTTTGGGATTTGGATTTGGGTTGCATGAAATGCACACCCGTATTTAGGAAGATAAAATTATTAAAAAGCGCGCCTAAAGCGACTAACGTGTTATTAACTTTGTGGGAGGCCATAAAAATTCGCTAAATGGCACGTCCCAAATTCTACGTATTTTAATATACACATTGAGGGCCACGCGATTTATGCATTTTTTGGTGCGGCGTACCTCGTTTATTTT